TCCATTTGTAAACACACAATGGGTCCCTCACCCAGCTTTCCAACCAATGACTACTTCATGTTGTGTCTCCATTCTGGTTCATGTCAGTATGCACCAAAAACTAGGAAGGGCACATTACAAGCTCCCAAGAAAACAAAAGGTGAAAGAAAACAAACATTGCAACAAGAAACGTGGACAAAAACCTTGTTTCCAAAATATTTAGGCATTTATTCAGAGCTACATTTGCATGATCTGAGTGGATAGGTAGGTAAGTGACATTTCGGACAAATTTTGCCATAACAAACTAACAGATCAGGTTTTCCCTTCAACTCTTTCTCCTATCAACTCTCTGCTCATTTCAACATCATGACACACAACTGATAATTCAAATGGTCAGTATCAGAACTACCCAGGGTACAGGCTGCCTGACTACCACCTAGGGTAGCCTAAAAGTCAACTACTTCAATCTTATTTATGATTAATCTATTAATATAGACCAACAACCAGAAATCAATGTCCGGTTTGTTGTCACTTAACCCCAAAAGTTTTCATTTATTTATTATTTTATGCCCTTTCTGTCAAGTGGCTAACCACTTTGAAGAAATTCTGTCTCACAGAATGACTGTTGGTCATACAAAACAGGAAACCCTTGAGACTAGGATAAAATTGCAAAACATTCCCTTCTATATGGGTGTTTCAATTATAGTATCTCATATTCGGTAGTTTTGGACAGGAATATAGTCATCCTAGTTTTATGCTGATAGAAAAAAAAGAATTAGTAAGGATCTAGGTCTGGAAAATAAAAGTTTTACTTATACATGATTTTGATAAAGTGATAATAATAAATTACTATAAAAATTTTAATAGGTTAAAACATATTGAAAGGATGCAAACTACCAATATAAATCAGCAAAACAATTACCTACATAGCAAGATGCATTTGACCAGTGTTTGCTTCTTTAAAGTTTGAAACACCCCATTGAAATTCCAGTAAAAAAATAAAAAAAAAGTAATATTGGTTGATCTAGTGAATGCAAAGTTCTATTATACAAGTTCTTTGAGGCATCACCTGTGATTTCACACTAAAGTCAAGGTATACCACCTCACTTAATCTGTAACTCAACATACCCCATAACAGTTCACAGACTCCGATCATGAGGAAATCATTCTCATATAGATTTCCTATGGTATGATAGTGTTCCTGCTAGCACCAACCAGTGGTAAGACATTATTTTTTTCAAAAACGTTGTGTATCTCACAGCAGAATTGAATTCCACTGTGGAACCGTGATAATGCTTTTCTTGGTGGGGGGTCACATGGAAATTACAGATGTGAGAGAAAACTTCAAGAAAATCACTAACATCATTGTCAAACTCAACTACAAGTTTATTACAATGATATATGTATATGTAACATTGGTTAGCTTATGGATGTTACGGTTTACTCAGCTGAAGAGCAACCTGAGGCAGTAATATTACTTTGATACTAATACAAATATTAATCTTATGTATGAACCCTAGTTCCCTCTCCTTTCTGTAGGTCTTGTTGCTAAAAGCTCTTTGTCAGTTTTTATCAGAAGCTTAGCATCAATGGCGTGGAATTTGACAGCAGTCAACAAGACTGGAACAGAACTCTACAAAGTGTTTTTGGCTATCTATTTTTATTAAGAATCGAGCAGTTTACATTACATCATTGATGAGTCACTGACCCCTAGACCGGAAACAATTATCCACCTAATGACTCAGCCCAGACCAAACTAATATACAGGTAATCACTCTAGCAATCATATAACATAACTTTTGCAGAATGGGATTAGCCTAGAAGATTTTTTAAAACAATCCTTGTTGGGTAAATTTTAGAAAGCACGAATCCATCACTAATTTGTCTCTTTGCAGGTGTGTAAACCTGGAAACTTGAAAGTTTTTATTACTTTTTGGTGAAGTTGTCCCAGGTTCCAATCCTCTTATGGTCATTATTCATCTCATTTTATATGTTTAAATCCATATTTTTACTTTGTTTTTATTCTCAAGACTGTATATACTCATGACAAACTAACAGATTAGGTTTTCCCTTCAACTCTTCCTTAATTTGTGACCCCTTAATTTTTTTGCATGATTTTTAACCTATTCAAAAAAAATTACCTGTGTAAAGAGCAACCCCCTTTTTTTTGCATAAAAAACTAATCATCAAAACTCACACTATACTTGAGTATATACAGTATATCAAAAGCCACTCACTCATCTTCATGTTTTTCTGTCTCTCATTCTTATCTAGAGACTACCTCAAATTATCATTCAACTGTCACATGCACTAATAAATATTGATCCAGTGAAACAATCACAAAACTTTCGTTATTGGTATCACTCTCACAGTTAATGGCTAAAATGGACTATGACTGTACAAATGAATTTGGTCAACTTTACAAATTGCATTAAAAACATCCTAAATAACATTTAACCTGGTAATATTTATACAAAATGATATAAATTAAGTGTTCATCTATTGAAATAGTAATTACACTTCATAGCATATAAACAGCATTTCAAGTCAAAGAATTTTGAAAGTACCTCAATCCTTTGCTAATAATATTCATAAAGTTTTTAAAAAATAAAACTTTTTAAATGATACTCTATCAATTTTTGCAAAGATCATAAGTCAATAGATGGTCAGAAAAGAGCATGAAGGTTTTTGTCATTGCTGATAAATTACAGATATAAACTTCAAACTGAAATCCTAAAAAAGCACACTGGTTTTATCTTATAAATACCTGCCGTGTATGAGGATAAAGAAAGAAAGACTTTTCAGAAACAATCATTTTCCTTTTTCAAACCAACAGATCAACAATTCTTTAGGAAAAGGAACAAGAAGATATTCTAACGATGTTTTCAGAATCAAACGATTGCTTTGAAATTCTCTAAAATATTCCATATATCCTGTTTTCTTATTATGGATAACTACTTTTGGATGTAAGAAGAGATTGAGGGTGACTTTGAATTTACTATTGCCCAAATGCAAATCCAAGGATATTATAAGACTGGCTTGTTATTGGGGAATTTCTCTCATGCAGTACCTATTCAGCTGAACTGAATAACTTTCCAAAACAGCTGTTAATATTGATCCACATATAATTAGTCATACATCCAGAGTAAAAAAGAAATCTACTCAATAATATCAATGTCGGCAATACCTGATTATCATGCTTGAATAACAAAAAAATCTAAAACAAATAACATTTGTGACTGGCAAACCAAAGATAGCATGCAATTATGATATCAAGTGTTAACTTAAGGTTTTGCTATGTAATTTTCCTATAAAAGCAAACCAATATTTTTAAACCTTTCCAATAAGATTTCCTTATAAAACAAACCAATACTTTTAAAGCTTTGAAATATCATTTTCCTATAAAAGTAAACCAATATTTTTAACACTTTCCTATAAAATTACCCTATAAAATCTAACCAATATTTTTAAGGTTTTTCTATATAATTTTTCCATAAAAGCCAACCAATATTTTTAAGGCACTCCTATAGAATTTCCCTATAAAAACTAATCAATATTTTTAAAGCTTTGCTATATCATTTTTCTATAGACATCAACCAATATTTTTGTCATTCCAATATATATTTTAAAAATTTTGCTATGTAATTTTCTTATAAAAGCAAACCAGTATTTTTAATTCTTCAATTTAAAATATTGTTAAAGACAAAAGTTTTTTGTTTTTTTTTCTTAAATTAATTAAAATAATTACTCACATAGAAAAACAAAATTTAGATATGAAACAGACAGTTTTATATATTAAACTGATGTCAAAATAAAGCCAATGAAAACTAATATTTATACTTATTTGCTATAATTTTATTAAGGATAAATAATTTGGGGAAAAATGTATTGTTTTTACCAACTAATTTATTAACTGTTATTTATTTTGATTCAACTACCATTAAAAAATTACCAAAAAGACACTCCTTTAATAAGTTGGTTTATGGATCAAATCGTAACTGCAAAACTGATTCCGATAATACTGTTGACTTTCTTGTGACTGAATGAGAAGTGTACCTGTGTATTTTCCTTACATTTCCAATATACTTATTGACTGGAACTTTGTCATGGCTGACTATTAGAGCAACAGCATTCTGCTGCTCCTGTCTGAGCAAGTAGTCATAGGGGAGTGGTTTTCCTAAATGCTCACCCACTCTCTTCTCAGTCAATTTTCGTAGCATACAAGAAGATATTTTCTCGGGATATCTGGCAATGGAAAAGAGCACGTGGAGAAGTGGATTCATGCCTTTCTCAAGGGCATCAGTACATGCATGAAGTGAATATAAGTCACCTCAGCCAAAATTCAAACTTAACCACTTATCTGTCTATATTTCTGAGAAGAGGTATTGTAACTATTTACACTGTTTGAACTATTGTCCTCATCTTTACTGTCTTATTTGTGACATTTTAGTCGTCGTACGCTCTGGCCATCTTCAGACTATATATATTGGAATTTTGAACCAAACCATTTATTTACTCCACTGGGGTAGATTGTTCTCATTCCCCATGCCATGCCTCTTCTGGATATCTCAGTTTCAGTTATTTCTCTTTTTAGTAACTCAACTCTCCAAGTTTTTGTTCACCTCTGCTGTGGCCAGGTATTGAACTCATAACCTTTTGGGTCAAGTCACTAGATTACTTCAACTAATGTTTTTATCCACTGGACCATGTGTCCTTTTGTCATTTTTATCCACTGGCATATGTGACACATAGCCGAGTGGATAAATGTGTTGGTTGACAATAAAGACGAGGACAACAGTCCGAACAGTGAAAATAGTTAATCACTTATGTTTTCTCTGCCGGTAACTCTGAAAACTCCAGTTATATATTCTATTATATATTCTACTCTAGTTATATATTCTATATTAAGTCAAAGAGAGAAATTTTGAGAGAAAATCATTTTCCTTTTCTGAGCCAACAAAATCAACCTTTCTGGATGCATTGCATCTAAATTGGGTTTAATAAAGAGAAAATAAACTCACCTCTAGGGATGTTGAAGAGGTTTCCTAATTTTCCTCCCCCACCGCCGCCTCCTCCTCCTCGGTTATCAGCATCAGCATCATTTCTGAGGACACCATCACCACCAGGACATTGTCGATTACTGCTGGCACAGTCCGTGTAGTACATAATAAGGAAGACATCCAAGAGGAACCACACCATTGAGGTGGCTAGGATAATCTTGCAATACTGTAAAGTCAGGCGACTTACCATGACTGTTGATGCTGACCTCACGGTGATGAGGATGACACTATTGTTTTTTACTGTGGTGGCACTTCCTCACAGGTTACCCACCGTCTCCTTATTCTGCTGCCACCACCACCACCCCCGTCACTATGATGACCAGTGATGACTACTGGCAGGACGGATGTTGACAATTTAAATCAAAGTCCAGCACAATGTACAACCATGCATTGTTGTTATTGTTGATGCTGTTTTCGATTAATTGCTTGCACACGTTTTGCATAGTTCAAAAGTCTTGTAAAAGCATTGTCAACCAAAGGTATCAGATATACCTGCAAAGAAAGATGAAAAAGAATCATTCAACCCATAATGAGAAAAAAAAATCAATAAAATTCTAAAATTTTAAAAGAAAAATATCTTTTTCGACATGGGATAATGAAAACTCATCAGTGAAGTATGCAACACAACATAAACTAGTAATATATACATAAAATTTGTTTACCAAATACATCTTCCTCCTTTTATGTGACTGTTCCCCTCCAGGAATTGGGTGATCATGTGTTAAATAATAGTTTGAGACTATTATTTTTTAGTGGCAGTGTATTTTAGCTCAGACAGTCTGTGGCTGACCTTTAATGTCAGATGGCAGACCAAATAAGGAAGTTGTTTTTGATTGGTTAAAACTAGCGTAGGAATGTTAGACAGATAGAAAGTGATTTCAGGGAATTAAGTTTTTACACATCATACAGAGTATACGTGGTTATTTTGTGTCATGGAGAACTTTCTCCCCAGTGGGGGTGATAGAGAGGCACAACTGATAGTTAAAAATGTACATGTCGATGTGTTTAATAAAATAGATAAGTTTAAAATTCCTTTTGTTGAAGTTCACTTTCATCTCTGAACACCGAAATCATTTTGACACCCAGCTGGGAAAAGATACGTTATGGAATTGACCACCATCAACCAAGACCTCCCAAGAACAAGGGGGCTATACAACACATGGCTCTCCATAAATTCCTATCATTGGTAGATCTTAGCATCTTTTTTCTTTTTTAACTATGCTTCCTACTTCCTGTTCTACCAACCATTTATAAATATGTTAGGTAAATTACTTGCTGTTTTTCTCCCTGTCTCTCTTTCCTTAAATATCTTATGTAAGTGTCAAATTCTCCAAGCCTTCTTTTCTCATTATGCATCCAGAAATTTCAACTGTCTTTTTGATTCTAAATGTCCTATTTGTTTTGATTTGCCTTAAAAACTTCCTCATTGCTCATGTGCTTCATCCATGTTATTCTCTGTATCCTTTTGAGAACATCTCTGTTGCTTCGTCACTTCATCTGTGAGAAAATTGTACAGCATTCACTTCCATATAGGAAGGAGTGATATTACAAAACAGTTCAGAACCCTTTTCTTTATTTCTAACAAAGAAATTTTCCCGTTTTGCTTTTGGAAGGCATAAGCATATTTAAATAGGAATGCATGTATGCAGTTGTTTGCATAAATTCAATTAAAGATCAATACATCCTACTCATCATAAATCTACAAGTTCTGATGCCAGTCTATTAATATTCTGTGATATTGACCTTCTAAGAGTTTCTTCTTTTCTAAATATTGAAGTGAATAAAATAGTACTCTTGGCAATTTAAAAGAAAATTCCAAGAGTTCAAGCTCCATAAAATCCACTTCTTTATTCACAGTATTGAATATTCTCAAATATATTCTGTACAGAGCAGGCATATCATTGCCAGAATTCATTAGTCATGTGAGAGCCTGAATGCTACAATTTGAAGAGGGCACATATTTATACAGGTACACTTCACAAATATTCAGATACTGTTATTTATGTAAACATATTAATTTACACCACACATCTAAAAATAACAACCAAGGTATGTAGGTACTTGTATAAACCAATCACATATTAACACACACACATTTTATTATGGTTTTAAAAATGAAGATTTTTAAAAGTATATATGAACAAGTAATAGGTACAAAACACTAGCTAATCAGTTAGTTTCTTTCTCTTTTATTTGTTATTTTTCAACTTAACACTTAATTTTTTTTCCTTTTTCTTCCTCCACTGTTTTAATATCACAACAACCACCTTCAGTAAGACTATCTTGATTGGTTCTTGGGCCTTGTATAGAGTGAACATTAACAAAATATAATAGCTGGCCACTCGTTTATTAAGGCAGCTAGCCAATTTCTATTGCAGACACTCACTCAGGCACAAATAGTGGTTTATAATGTAACTATGCAGAGACAAATAGTGGTTTATAATGTAACTATGCTGAGCAGACCTTAGTTACAGTTTCTGGGAGATAGCATGTTATCTAGTGTGATCAACAATCTAAAGAAGGCTAGTACACTCAAACCCTAGGTCACGATGATTTGTGACTTCATGCTAGCACAGCTGTTGATGGCCCCCAAGAGTTATGTCAACCCAATTTCACTCACAAGGCTTGGGTCAATCCATGGTATAGTTTTCAGGCACTTTCCAAAGTGTCACATGCTGGGATCGCCCCCTCCAGCCAGATAATATCAGGAAGTCTCCTTCCCCGACAAATCAACCATGGTGAGATTCAAACCCGGGTCTCATGGTCAGAAAGCTAACATTCTAACTACTCAGCCATGTGGGCATATTAATATTAACAATATATATATATATATACACACACACACACAACATGAACACAAAAATAAGGAAAAAGCTTACACCAATGATAATGCCTAAAAAAGGAAAAAATATAAGTATAAATTGTTGATAACCCCTGAAGAGTGGATGGACAGGCCTGCCCATGAAACTCTGGAGTCAAGTAACAACAATCAGCTAAGTGACAAACTATATATATATATATATATATATATATATATGTGTGTGTGTGTGTGTGTGTGTGTGTGGTAAACACTCCTCTGCTTATACCTCCTACATGATGGTAAAATATTAGTGGCAATGGTGTTGTCATCTAGCTAATGCCTTTCCACTATGTGGGAGGTATTTTTGCTGCACCCCATATATTATTTGCTTTTAAAGTATGCACTTTTAAAGCTATAATAAAACTTTGTAGCTCGTATAAATTATTTTCACATTTATCAGCTTATAAACAGTGGGTGCTGAAAAGTTCTCATCCCAACCCACTTTCTAAAATCTGACCAGATAACCAACCAGTGAAAAAAATCTTTTTTTTTTTCCTTTTTTTTTTAAAGCATCTTTACTCTGCTGAAAATCTTTTCAGCACTCCTTGTATCAGTTTCTAGTGCATGCATAAAAGCACATATGCATTATACTCATGCAAATAGATATATTCACACATTTCTAAAGTGAGACTGGTACTGTAATTAGCACAAATGATTATTGAAAAACATTTAAAAAATACAACTTAAAAAAATAAATTTTGATGCTTTTGCTTTTGATATTAAGAGATTATACAAAAAGAGAAAAGACTTAGTGATTCCTGACAGAAAAATTTAACTAGAAACAAAAAAAAAAAAAGAGTACTGAACTGTTACGTGATAACTGTTCACAGCCATACTCCTGTATGGCTGTGAATGCTGAACAATCTGCTCAAAGATGAAGAGGAGACTTGAAGCAATAGAAATGTGGTTCTACAGAAGGATGCTGAGGATACCATGGACCAAACATGTGAGCAACAAGGTTTTGGAGAAAATGGAAACAAAAAGAAAACTATACTTAACATCAGGAAGAGTCAGTTGAAATTTCTGGGGTACTTAATAAGGAAAGAGGGCTTGGAAAACCTGATACTCACAGGGAAGATAGAGGTACAGAGGAAAGCAGTGCATAGAATACTTGATGAGCTTGAATAAATAAATGGTAGAACAGGGTTTGGGAGAAATAACAAAAAGACAAAACTTATTAAGAGCTGCACGAGACAGGAAGATGAGGTGGGCCATAGTCGCCTACATCCTGAAGAGACATAGCACATAAAAAAAGAAGAATGAAATAAAATTCTGTGTAAGAAAGTTTTTTTAAATCTTCACCTGCAAGCAGACATATATAACATATTTTGTAAAAACAACATATAGAAATATTTCATTGAATTTACATTTATCTGGCACAAACCATTTCTCTGGGTTTTATATCCTTTTATTACTTGGTAGCTTGGTGGACTTAATCTGTTTATTTACTACGAGAGTTGTTCTTAAAAGGAAATAAGATTCCAGAAGTCTGCTTAAAGTTAACCTACATAGAAATGTCAGCTCCTAACAAGTGAAAATCATTTTGTATCTATTGAAAGGGGGGGGGGACTAGTAATGCAGTAGGTCAAAGGTTACATTAATGAAATAGAGAGTTATACAAGAGTGACACAACTAGCTTAAGAGCCGCCCTATCGGGCAGCATTTCAACTAGCTCCTGCGGAGGGGTCTTGATTGGTCCTTCATCAAAATAGGTAGAGAGGAGTAGATGAAATATGTAACAATAAACTCCAGAAGAACTCAAAATTGATCGCTGTATTTAAGTATTGCATTAACATTTAAGCTTATCCTTTAAAAGTTCACCAATAATTAATCTACCACCACTTAATTTAAAGACATTTTAATGCATGCAGCTCCTTACTTTCTATACAGACAATTATTTTTATTTCATGGGTGACTTTCGCTGGATTTCGCAATTAATTCTGATTATTCCCAAATTTATTTCCAAGTTATAAAAATTGTGATTGTACAAAAAAATTTGCCACAAAATTCACAGCAAAAATAATCCCTGTAATGAAAACTTTGGAATCCAAAATTTCAGGATTGCTGGTCCGGATCCGGTGCAGAATGTTTTTAATTTGCTAATGGAGTTGGCTTGATTCCAAAATGGTATGTTATGTGGGGCTACAGCATCTAGGAGTAAATTTGAAAAAGTGCGACACATTGACACACTGACATTCACATTTATTATATAGATTAGCCAAAACTATTTAAATAATGTACAAGATAGATGAGATATTTAAAAGAAATTTAAAAAAAAA